AAACCGGGCCATATGCCCACTTTGGCCACGCATTTTATATGGCCAGAAATGACGGGCATTGTGCCCGCAATAATGGCAAATGCCCGCAATCTGGAATAAATGGCCGAACACTAGTTTTGACACATTGTTTGCATTCAAATCAATGCATTGTGTCATCAATTCATGTGAACGTTATTTATGTGACATTTAATACAATCCGAGAAAAAGCGGTAAATTATATGAAAAGGATTTGAGAAATAAATTGAATTGAATTGAGATTTGAATCCAATTTGAGTCAATTGTAGTCACAATGAGTTATAGCGACGAGCGGTTAGACTCACAACAACTCTTTGATTACTGCCTTTTAGGACAACAATTGGCCACAAATATAGCCACGAGTTGTGCCGACACTCAACACAACCACTTCTTCGACAGCGGAGGCCAACAGTCAGACAATTGGCAGACAATGAGTGATGTATTGACGCAACAAATGAAACAATTGATTGGTTTTGAAGGCAAACTCAATGATGGCATTCAGGCGTCCATTCAATGCGATCAATACGTCCGTACATTCAACCAATACTTGACATCACTTAACCATACATTTGTCCACTTGTTTAACAGATCCAACAATTGATGGCACAATCAGACAATCAATCTTTAATTGACACAAATATTGATGAGATATTTGACGAGAAATTGACACAATACTTGACATCACTTAACCATACATTTGTCCACTTGTTTAACAGATCCAACAATTGATGGCACAATCAGACAATCAATCTTTAATTGACACAAATATTGATGAGATATTTGACGAGAAATTGACACAAATTGGCGCTCGAAGTGAGGCTAATGTTGAGGAGAAGGAGCAATACGTGAAGTTAATGGATGTTTTGAGTGAATTTAGCGTTAATACAGGCAATAACGGCACTGACAACGGATCAGATCTACTGAATGTCTGAAACCTGTGAGTTCTCTTATCATATGGTTAGCTAGGCAAGTCGTTTTCCCTCTAACTTCAACGCCAGTAGTTGTTCTGCACGCCTGTGTAGATGCTATCCCTTGTCAACTCTGGCGTGCTGGAGGGCAGGGCTGCCACCGATGGCCGCCACACCGTTCGCTGTCCCACAGTTGGGTGTAATAACAAGAAGGTCACTATGGATGACGTCCAACACCACAGAAGAACTCAAATACTTATTGATAAACTTAAAAGAGCTCAAAATTAATACTGTATTGTATTTTATTTGCACTCATTTTAATACAAGTCTGGAAATGATTTTTTTTATAAAAATGTTCTGAATTTTTGTATAAATTACTGTCTATTAAATATGTTTATTATATTTCCTGAATATAAGTAATATTTGTTTAATTTGTAAAATAAAAAGTGTTAAAAAATACAATGAATACACGATTTCATACAATTATATTACAATTACAATACAAAAGTACTTTTCCCACAAATTAGACAATATATTGATTGATAATTAAATTTGAGGATTAATTGTGACTTCTTTGTGGATCTTTATATAAGAATAGTTTGAATGGATAATCAATGAATGTGTTGTATATTTGTTGCCAATGATGCCTTAAATGAACCATGTTAATTAGTGATAATTGTGATTTTAATTGAAACCCTCAAATAATAATTACAGTATCTCATCATTTATTTTTATATACAATTTTATGCTAAAAACTTATATGAAATCAAAATGTGTTTTGTTTTGAGCATGGTTGTTCTAAACCTAGATCAATTGATTGTTCAAATTGAATGCAATTGGAGTATGGTAATATTAGGGTATGAGGTAAGTAAATTGAAAGTATTTGTACATTAAAGTGATGTTCAAATTGATTGCCATTCAATGGTTGGTTATTTGATTGGTTACACAAGTGATGTACAGACTGTACAGTACTGTATGAGTGAGAGTGAGAGAGAGTTAGTGAGAGAGAGCGCCACTCGTGCTGTGTATGACTGCATTGATGAATGCATTGAATGCATGCAATGATTGGGAAACTGATTGAATGAATGGTTTGTTGAGATTTGTCGACATTTGTGTGTTTGATGTGAACATTGAATGACTGAACGACTGAACGGTTATTCAATTATTGATTCATTTGTTGTTTTAGTGGTAAACCAATTGTGATTACATTTGACTCCCATTACAATCATATGTCGAGTGATTGACACAAGAAGTGCACATATAATGAAGGGATAGTCACTTGAATTGGTCTCATCTGTTGTCTCATGTCTGCAAAGATGTCCACTTCAATGCATTTTGTGTTAAGCCCTTTGCCATCGACTGATGAACAGCTCAATGAGAGGTATGTCTCCTATCAATGCTTTTTACTCATTATCTCAATGTTATTGTCGTTGTATTTGTGGTCAGACTTCGGGAGACGAGTGAAAAGAGTGGTCGAAACGCATGTCAAGCGAACGCGTCATCAGTTTTCCAGTCCATCAAAACATTGTCTGTGAGTCAGTGTTGTGTCGGCTCTTCTCATATCGCACTTCTTCTTGAGGTATGTCTTGGAGTGTCCTTCGATTGATTTGATGCCATAATAATGATAACAAAACTTGTCGTTGAATTGAAAGGACGGACGCATTTGTCGGGTCTCTTATTCAGTACTTACCGATCGGTTGGATTTGTCGACCACTGAGTCATCAAAAATGTATTTTAAATGTTTGAATTCAATCATTGATTAGTAATTTTACATTTCTTGTCATTAAAATAGCGTTAATCTGAAAGGAAGTATTGGTAGTCATGTGTCGAGTCTGGCCTCCAATCAGCGGTCAAGTCCTGCGGCCCGAAGAGGGCGTATACTGCGGACGTCGAGCAACGGGAGAGGTCGGGGCGGCGCCAGCGTTATAATGGGTGGACGGCCTGTAGTTCCGGCGCCCTTTGTTCCCGAAGATCTGGTAACTCAGGCACAGGTTGTACTTCAGGGCAAATCACGAAACCTGATAATCCGTGAACTGCAACGAACCAATTTGGACGTCAATCTCGCCGTTAATAACCTCTTGAGTCGCGACGACGAGGACGCGGACGATATGGACGACAGTCAAGAGTCATATCTGCCGAGCGATGACCTGATGTCGCTATTGGACGCCGGCATTCACAACGATCACGCGTCTGTCATCATTGACGCCGACGCCGTCTTTCCCGACGATGTTTTCAGCTACTCATCCATAAGAGTTCGCTCGAGTGCTGCCAATCGTCTGTCGGCCAGAACGGGATCGTCTACTGTTGAGAGAGAGCGTGAGTCGAGTGCTGTTGAACGAGATATGTTACGATTTGCATCCGAGCGACAGTACCCCACATCCAGTGCCTCGTCTTCGCGGCGATGGCTTGAATATGCGTTACGAGATTCGGGCTCTGCTTCGGATCCATCGAAATGTGCGGTCACTTCTGCACCGCCCGACTCTATCCCCACAACTCGTAAGCGTACGGACAGCTCTCAATTGAACCCAATCTATGTTAGCGAACAATTGGAGTACTGGCCGTCTGGAGACAAGAGATTTACGCAAATGGCTTCTTTGTATTCGGAATTAACGGCTATTACAAGCACTGGACAGTTATGTCAATGGAAGTGGAATGAAAGCGAGCCCTTCCGGTCTCAAACAATTGATGGCATTTCTTACTTTCATCCAAAAGTTCCAGTTTTGGGTCTCTTAACCGAAAAGATTATACATTTGTCGGGCACTTGTATTCGAGGATCAGTGGCCACAGACAACTGCAAAGTGGCCACATTTATGGACGATAGCGTGTCTCCCATTTCCAGTAAATTGGAGCACAGTTTGGTCTCATTGCCCGATACTGTGAGCAGTGACACCAAAATAATCTCTATACACGTCTCGTCACTACTGTCTTGCGTAAGACTGGATACCGGAGCGATGTATTGGTGGGGAATCGCTCCCTATTCTCACCGCAAGAAGTTATGGGAAAAAGTGAGAGCAAAGACTAAAAAGCAGAGACAGAGCTCATCTTCGATATCGAATGATATTATAACTGGCGCTCAGGTGTGTCTCCGAAACAGTCCGTCATATAATTCCGGTGCCATTGGGTTCACAACTAGTGGAGGCGTTCCCAAAGTGGGCCAACTATTGTCTTCGGCGTGGAATATAACCGATTCGTGTGCTTTCAAAATCTTGAATACAATTGAATTTAAGAGAAGTACAAGCAATCAAATCTCGTTTGCGGCGACCACTGCCTCCACATCATGTGTGGTGCGGAATAGCGAGGCAGCCATTAAAGAACAACAGCCTCCGAGTCCCAGTCTGTCGAAAGCGTCGTCAACCGAGCGCCTAGAGATGCCTCCACCGCCTTCGCCCGCCTCCTCCACCTGTTCAGAGCCGGGTTGTAGTCCTTTACCCAAACGCTCAAAGCCTAGACATAACAATAGCAGTAATAATGTGTTAAACAGTAATGAATTCGAGAAAATAGAAGAGAATTGGAATTTAAAAGACGTTATATTTGTTGAAGACGTTAAGAATGTACCGATTGGTCGCATATTGAAAATCGATGGCAATTACGCGGCCGTGAAGTTCAATACAGGCCGTGAACACAGTTACCAATCGGACGGCAGTGATGTCCAGTCGTTATTACAAGAGTGTCGTCTTTTGCGCAAAGATGAGCTCCAACTCGTCAAAGGGAGCACTTGTGCCAAAGTGTTTGACTGTTTTCAACGCTTGCCTAAAAAAGTACACATTCCTGACAGCACTCATATCATTGCAATGAATGTCAGTAATGTTGGAATTCATGCTATCGTCAAGAGTGGCACAAAACTCAATTATGTTGTCTTTAACATTACGTCCGGTCGCGTCGAACAGGAGAGCCGTTTCCCTACAGACACGTCCGCCTTCTTGGGTCAGGACATGTCACTCATATCGTTGCACTGTTTCGGCGAGAATGAGATCATAACAATAGTACGGGACGGCAACGGAGCCGTATATCCATTGGCTAAAGATTGTTGCGATTCTATTCGAGATCCCATTTCACTGGACATGCCTCCCGCTCAGGCCATCGGAATTGGTATTCACCCGATACGGGACTCTATTCCCAATCAAAAAAATCAAGTGGCGGTTATTGTGTTAGCGCTTGAGAATCAATTACTCACTCCCGCTATACTTAGAAGTGATCCCGATTTGGTTCGACTCACTCTGGCGTCGCTCGAGAAAGAGTCTGTCTCTCAACAGGTAGTGGTCAGTGAGCGCTGTGACGGCAATCGTAATATCATTCATATGGCTGTTTGCGCCTGTTTTCCCACTTCTAACAAGACATATGACTCAACTCCCGCCGAAGACTCCAACGTTGAATCATTTGACGCCCGAAACTCTTCTCTTCAAGACGTGATGAGAAGAGCGTCCAAATCAGTGTCCGGCAGAGCGAACCCTAACAGTGAGAGAAACGACGAATTACGGGAAAGAAGTATTGAGCCGTCGGCTGACAGCTGTGACTCAGAGTCGAACGCACCCATAGCTATGATCTATTATCCACCAGAAGTGAGTTCGGTCTCCAATGAGCCACTTCTCGATCCAACAGAACAGAAACCGATCGCTCACTCGATTCTATGGACTTTATTAGACTCAGCAGTTTTGCGGCCATTCATGAAAGAGTTGTTGAGTTCTAAGGATTCACAGGGATATACGCCATTCATGTTGGCTGTTAGCGGTCGGGCCTACTCTGCCGCCAATCATGTCATGACAATGGCTTTAAAGTTAGCGCAAAGGTCTTCAACTGACGCCGAAGTTCAACAAAAAGTATTGATGTCTATGTTATACCCTCGAGGCTCCAATCCGGACGACTCTCCCCTCCACCTGCTGTGTTGTAACGACACGTGCAGTTTCACGTGGACTGGCGCTGAACACATCAATCAGGATATATTTGAATGCAAGACATGTGGTCTCATCGGTTCGCTGTGCTGTTGCACAGAATGCGCGCGAGTCTGCCATAAGGGCCACGACTGCAAACTCAAGCGCACGTCTCCCACAGCTTATTGCGATTGTTGGGAGAAATGCAAGTGTAAGGCACTGATCAGCGGATGTCAGTCCTC